GAGATGGACATGGCTGGCACCAGGGGGCGGACGTGGACGAGGAAACAAAAAAAAGGAAGAAAAAATAAAAGAAAATAGAAAAAAAAAAACCAAAGAGAAAAACAGAAAAAAAAAAAAAAAAACAAAGAGAAAAAAAAAAAAAGAAAAAAAAAGAGAAACCCCCGGGCTCCCCACGAATAACCCTGGTCAGGCAGCGGGACGGGGGGAAAAAAAAAAAAGTGGGGCGCGGTGCCACTGCCGTGCCGTGCCAGATCATACCGGTCGGGGGGAGGGGACGCGCTGGCGGCTGGGGGGGGCGGGGAAAGGCTGGGCCGGCTGCCCAGAAAGACCTGGGCTGCCTGCCAAGGGAGGGCGCGGCGCTGGTTCTGGTGCCGTGCCGTGCCGGTGGCTGTGATGCGAGGAGGAGCTGGGCTCGCTGCGGAGGAAGAGGACGACGACGAGGAAGACCTGGGCTGGCTGCAGGGGAAGGGGGAGAAGGGCGGGGCTGCGGGGCGGAGGAAAATGGGGACACGGTGCCACTGCTCTGCCGTGCTGGAACCAAGCGGTCCAGGCGGAGGGGCGCGCAGTCTGAGTGGTGGTGGGGAGGATTATGAGGAGGAGGAGGAGGAGGAGGAGGAGGAGGAAGAGGAGGAGGAGGAGGAGGAGGAGGAAGAGGAGGATCTGGTCTGGTTTGGCCGCGGGGGCGAGGAGGAGGACGAGGAGCTGGGCTGGCTGCGAGGAGGAGGAGGAGGAGGAGGAGGAGGAGGTGGAGGAAGAGGAGGAGGGGGGAGAGGAGGAGAAAGAGCTGGGCGCGGTGCCCCGTGCCGTGCCGCGTCGGAATCAATAGTGGCGCGGAAGAGCTGGGCCGGCTGCAGGGGGCGAGGGGGAGGCGATGCCCTGGCTGGGGGGCGAGGGCTGGCTGGGGGGCGGGGGAAAAAGGAAGGCGGTGCCGACGCCGTGCCCATCCGGAAAAAAGCGGTCGAGGCGGAGGGGCGCGCTGACTGGGGGAACGAGGAGGAGCTGGGCTGGCTGCAGGGGCGAATGGGAGGAGTCCCTGAACTGGGCTGGCTAAGGGGCGGGGGAAGGGAGGACGCGGTGGGGGGGGTGGAAGGGGCACGCTGGGTGTGTGGCGAGGGCGAGCTGGGCTCGCTGCGGGAGGGCAGAGGGGCGCGGTGCCCTGGTTGCGGGGGGGACAGGTTGGCTACGGGGCGAGGGAAAACTGAGCGCGGTGCTGGTGCCGTGCCGTGCCGGACAGAACTGGTCCAGGCGGAGGGGCGCGCTCCCTGGGGGGGAGGAGGAGCTGGGCTGGCTGCGGGAGACGAGGAGGAGCTGGGTTGGCTGCGGGTGAGAGGGGGGGGGGGGCGGGGAAAAGGAAGGACGCGGTGCCACTGCCGGCCTGCCAGGATAAAAAGTGGGGGGCGGGAGGGGGCGCGCTGGCTAGGGGGTGGGGGGGGGCGAAGAGGGCTGGCTGCGAGGGGCGAGGAGAAGGAGGAGGAGGAGCTGGGTTGGCTGCTTGAGAGGGGAGGGGCCGCGGTGTCGGTGCCGTGCCATTCCGTGCCGGAATAAAGCGGTCGGGGCGGAGGGGGCGCGCTGGCTGGGGGGCCACATGGAGCTGGGTCGGCTGCGGAAGGCTACTGCCCTGGCTGGGGGTCGTGGGCTGGCTGCGGGGCGGGGGGCGCCGTGCCGGTGCCGGAATAAAGTGGTCGGGGCGGAGGGGGCGCGCTGGCTGGGAAAATGAGGAGGAGCTGGGCTGGCCGCGCGAGGGCGAGGAGGAGGAGCTGGGTTGGCTGCGGGGGGGAGGGCTGAGAGACAGGGAGGCACGGTGCCATGCAGCGCTGTGCAGGAATAAACTGGAAGGGGCGGAGCGGGCGCGCTGGCTGGGGGAGGGCGGGGAGGAGCTGGGCTGGCTACGGGGGCGAGGAAGAGGAGCTGGGCTGGCTGAGGCGGGGGGGAACGCGGTGCCACTGCCGGTGCCGTGCCGTGCCGTAATGAAGTGCTTGGGGCGGAGAGAGCGCGCTGGCTGGGGGGCGAGGCGGAGATGGGCTGGCTGCTGGGGCCACGGGGGGGCGCGGTGCCCTGGCTGGGTGGCGACGAAGAGTTGAGCTTGATCGCCTGCCGCGTGCTGTGCCGGAATAAAGTCGTCCGAGCTCGAGACACAAGCGCAAGAGAACAATTTGTGGGGGGAAATGTCCGGCTGTTGTTGTGCATCGGAGGACAGCAAGCCAGTCTCCTTTCTGAACAACCAGGTGAGGGCGCCAGGAGGAGCACTTCAATTGAAAAACACAATGGGCACTGGGCAGGGGTGGTCAACAATTCGCTGGCCCAACGGGCCAGAGGCGTGCTAAGAACTTCGGCGACTGCTTTACAATATGTCCACTTCGCGCGCGCGGGGCGGTCCCTGGGGGTCCCTGGACAAAAAGTACCCCGGCCGGCTCGGGTCAGAGATGGTTGTCCTTCTAAGCGCCGCCCTTAAGGCCCTCCAAAGCGCCCCAAGAGGGCCCCAAGAGCCCCCCAAGACGCTCCAAGAGGGCTCCCAATCGTCGAACGATCGGTCCAAGACGCCCAATGTGGCCTTCAGATGGCCCAAGACGCATTTCAAACGCCCCAAGAGGCCACCAAGAGCCCTCCCAAGAGGGCCCACAAAGGCAAAACGTAGTGGATTTCCTCCAGTTCCTCAAGGATAACGTTCTCGTTTTGTTCGTCTTACCCGCGCTTCAAGACGGCCCAAGAGGCACCCAAGATCGCCCCAATACAACCCAAGACGCTTCCAAGAGGACCCGAAAACAGCCCCAGCGGGCCCGAAGACAGCCTAAGAGCCCCCCAAGACGGCCCAAGAGGCGCCCAAGAGAGCTTCAAGACGGGCCCTGTGGAGGCACCCGAATGGACAGTTCAACTCTCGGCCCCGAGAGGCCCCAAAAGGTCAACAAAAAACCCAAGAGGCTCGCAATAGGCCCGAAGAGGCCCCGACAGAGAGACAGGCAGACTGACAGACAGACAGACACCCACAGACAGACACACAGACAGACAAACAGACAGACAGACTGACTGACAGACAGACGGACAGATAGACAAACAGACAGACACACAGAAAGACAGACAGAGAGACAGACAGACAGACAGACACACAGACACACAGACACACAGACACACAGACACACAGACGGACGGACAGACAGACAAACAGACAGACAGACAGACAGACAGACAGACAGAAAGACAGACAGACAGACAGAAAGACAGATGGACGATGAGGCGAGGAGGGGAAAGCAGGGCGATAACAAAAGGAAAGGGAGGGACGGGAGAATGGAGGGACTCACGTTTGCTGTCGGGGGGTGGCCGTTGCCCAGTCCTCTGGCAGGCCTCCGGCCAGCCTGTTGAACTTCAGCATCAGCGGCTCGTTGTAGTAGTACCGCATCGCGGCCTGCGAGCCGTCCGCCCTGATGTCCTCGGGAGGAAGGTTGCGCGGGGGCGGGGGCGAAGGGCGAGGGAGGGGGGAGGGAAGAGCGGGGGGAGGGAGGGGGGGGGAGGGGAGGAGGTAGGATGCTGGGTCCCAGACAACTCGGCCGATAAGATCCATTCGGGCCACCTAGGCGACCTAGAACGTGGGGGGACGGAGGGGATGAGGAGGAGGAGGAGGGGTCTGAAGGCGAATCAGTAGAACCTGTCCCTCCTGACACATTCAACCAGTTCGCCTGCGACGCCAAAACGTTCCTGATGGTGATGGTTGGTGCTTCTGTTTTGCGCTTCGTGTTTTGGGGGACGACGAAACGAGGCCACGCTACATGACGGAGGAAGCGGGGAGGAATAATGACGACTGATTCTTCCCAGGGAAGCAGGGAGGTGCCGCTCCTACGAGCAACGTGGGGCCCGCATGCGGCGGGCCAGTCCCGCCACGAACTTGAAAAACAGGAAAAATACACTCACGCACCCATCGATGCCAGTAGATGAGCACGTTTGGAAATACCAAAGGACTCCCACCATTGCCAGTAGGTGGCAATGATTGGAGTACTTCAAGCGCCTCCCACCAATGCCACAAGGTGAGCATGCGAGAAGTACACCCAGAGACGCCCGCCATTGCCAGTAGGAGAACCTATTGGAAATGTCCCTCACCAATGCCACTAAGCGAACACTTGCGGAATATATCACCAGACTCCCACCAATGCAATTACGTGGTCATGTTTGAATATGACCAGGGCCACCCTCGCATGTCAGTAGGAGGACATGCTTGAAATATATCAGAAGCGCCCGCCAACGTCAGTATGATACCATGCTCGAACTATATCGGAAGACTCCCGCCAATGCCAACAGGCTGTCACGATGAAAAATATACAGCAACAGCCACCAACGCTGGGAGCAGAAGATGCTTGAAATATATCAACACAAGACTCCAACCAATGCCAGTAGAGGAGCATGTTCGAAATCATTGAACCAGAAGTTTCCACCTGTGCAGGGAGCATGTTTGAGACGAACCTGGAGACACCACCGATGCATTCTTCATCACTGCTGCTCTGCCATCACCCCAATTTCGGTGAGCATCCCGTCCCATGTAGGGGTGCTAGATGCGTCACGACACTCACGTAAACCGCAAGCTGGCGCAACCACATGATCACGGTAAAAATATGATACATCTAGATACGGTAGTGTGTGTCGACCATAGCAACCATCTCCCCCGTGCGTCCGAGAAACCCGCCCTCGAGGACAACGCCAGATCGTCCAATGAACAATGATAACGACCAGCCATTTTGTGCACATATGCTCCGAATAGACTCGTCAACGTCATCGATCGGATCCTCTGAAAGCCAGAAAATCTCACGCACCACCGTCGAAGGTCCAGCACAGACTGGCGCCCCAATGACCACCTGCGCAAGACGTTGAAAGGGAGCCGCCACCTGGTGATGGTCAGCGCCGGGGGGGAGAACCGCATGGATGTCACTGCAAAGCTGCTCCGACACTTCATGAACCGCAGGGCCACTACAAGCCTGGCGTTGAACAGCGACCGCACCACAGAGAGAAAAGAACAT